GTTGCCTAGTTCTTGGATGATGATGAAGGACAATTAATGAGGAATGTTAAAAAAAAAGTTTGAAAAAGAAGGCTAAGCCAAGTACCATTTTTGAAGAGTTTAGTAAGTCAAGTCTTGAAGTTAAAATAATTGATAACTCTACATTCATTCAACTTCATCAATCATAGTCACTACTATTGTTCTTCCCTCAATTAAATATAATCTTGCTCCTTTTATTCCACCAAGGAGTTCTTCTAATATTCTTAAAAAATGATACACTTACTACCCTTTTGGTATCGTGATTTATGAAGAAATTGACAAGAAGAGAATTAAGTAAAGAAAACGAGTAGATATATAATACTATTAATGGCTTGCAGAATAAAGGAAAACAAGTCATCAAGCATCCTTCATGCAACTTTAAGCACTCCTTTGATGAAGAAAAAGAAATTTTTCTACAAAAAGGGAAAAGTCTTCACAAATACTCAACTAGTGATTTGATTTGAAACTAGTGAACCTTATGATGTGTCTTATGACAAATAATTTATTGTGGCATTAAAGGGGAGTTAAATGGATGTTTGTTGATATTTAGGATTAGGAATAAGAATTTCAGACGCATTTGACATATTTTAACTAGTTATTCTGTAACTGAAGATACATGCATAATATTTTTTGGTTATTTGGACAAGCAATATTATTATATCAAGTAAGATTGCAAATATACTAGACTATCACTATTTATTCTATGTTTATTTGTTATATTTGGAATCCTAGTTGTTCATTGCATACAAAATCTTTCTCTAAATGTAGGTGTAAGTAACTAAATCATGCATCTATCCAAGTTATAATTTGGCCATGAAATAGTTAAGGAATAATGTGAAATGAACCTTACATGTTTTGCTATAACGTTTTACTATAAAGAGTTTTGAAATATCAAAACTATAATCTTAATTAGCATTTCGTATGAAATGTAACATTAACATAAGCACATGATGCATGATCTGTTTGTGGCATATTATAAATCCATTTATTTTCTATAATAGAAGAAATATCAACATTGCCTAATATGACAAATCAAAAACTTTAAATTCACACTTAATAATACATATCAACTTTGTGTATCTTTTTGCAATATGCTCAACATTTTATAAAAAATATTATGCATTCATGGAACAAATGGTAACTCATTTATCAATAAGTATTACGGTGTGCCATTTGCATGCAAGATAAATATACAATTGTATTGTAATAAATAGCACTAACAAATCATTGAATTGGGAGACCACAAGCATTTTTCAAAAAACCATGCATAGAACTCATATCTTAAATATTCTTAAGCATTTTTCAAAAAACCATATATGTTTTCATGTTTCATATGTAAACACTATAGCATGAGATAAAGAGCATTTTGTAACATACCACTCCATTGGCCATGCAAGAGCTTTATTTTTTAAGGTTTTAATGCTTTTTTGTGTTGATCAAAAGTAGTGACATCAACATTATTTTCATCTTAAGAAATTTTGTTATTGTAGTATCAATATCTAGTTTAGTCATTATACTCAATGCCTTCTTGAAATTATCTCATAGATATCTTGAATAATGTTTATATATTGCCAAGAGAAGGATATCATGACAAACATGAACCAAACCATTATGTTTATATAGAAGTATGCATGCGTTCCTATAAATCATGAAACATTATGAGAAACCATAATTACAACTTCTTACACTCAAACTTAACCATTGGAAATATTAACGAAAATAAATTGTTATTCACATTGATGCCAAGGGTAATAAGTAATGTATCTTTGTACCTTTAAGTAAAATATGCCATCCATATTGAGGATAAGCTGGCATAGTTTTTAACTAGATATGCATGGTCAGAAAGCCCAAAATATGTCATAAAAATATGTAGTTCTACTAGCTTGTATTATATAGATAAAGCTAACTAAGAAGCAACATATAACATTTATGAAATAAAAAAGAAGTGATCAATATGAATCTTCATAACTACAAAATATGTAATCAATGGCCATTATTCCTTGCTTTGATGTTAATAACTCTATTAATAAACTTTTCCATAATAAATCAATGGGAAAATATAATGAAATATGATCTTAGATGTGTTGTTCTTATCACAAACATATATTATATGATGCATGCATGTATAAGGATTACCCATTATTGATATTCTCCATACACCACCTGAATGTTGGCCCCTAGATGCATATAGGCATCCACTATGTGAATGCAAAGCAGGAGTATGATGTAGATAGAGACTCCACCATTAATAATTTATTATTTAAAGCATGCATTTGATATTTAACATTTATTGATGATAGTTTGCCATTTAATGAATGATGAGATTCTTATTTACTTTAAAATATCATATAGAACTATTTGTTTATGTGCTATAGACTTAATTATAACTATGTTTGTTTAATGGACTACTACATATATCAGTTGGTTCACACTCTTGTGTTATGCAAATTACTCAAACAAATTGTTATCCAATTTCATTGCATTAACTAATTTAACATTAGTAAATGCAAGTTAGCATGTGAAGTCATGAATTTTCAATCTACCTTAACATATAATTCTATCATGATATTATCATGGCCATCCTTTCTCTCATTTGAGTATATCTTAATTTGAGGCATATCCTAGTGTCTCTTATGCTTCCATATGAGTATATAATTATAAGTTTAATAATGGAAGATACTCTTTTGGCTTAACATCAATATTTATATATATTTTATATGAGTGTTGAGTTATGTTAGAGTGTGATGTATGGTACATCACCAACATTTGACAATATTGCTTAAGATAATCGATACCATAAGAATCCATCAGAATAGACATGAGTGTTTATGAATAAATTATATTAATATCACAATTCTAATTATGATATTTCATATCCCACAAAATAATAAATGTGTTGGTCACAAACTATATATTTATATAGTTTCAATAAATTTAGTTGCATGCCTTTAGATACAATAATGACATTATAATTTTCTTATGGTATTCTTTCAACTTCCATGCATATACATAAGGTATGCTTGCTAGCCTCCAATAATACCAATGCAAATGTTATCTTTTATAATATACATCAAACAACCACTAATTGAATATTAACATATTAGATTAAGTCAAGTTATTATAAGGTAACAATTGTGTAACTCTAAGTTTCATGTCTTATAAGGTTATTAAATTTACTATTTGAGAAATATACTTTCTCTTGCTATCATATGGGGGCGTGAAATTGTTTGTGACTCTTAACTTTCATAAACATGTAATATTAAATGTAAATTTGGGCTAATCATCTTAGGCATCTATGATGTGCAAACTATTATAAACATTAATTTATTAACATTATCCTTCTTATGATTAAAAATATTTTTAATAAAAAAAAATTAATATATGAGATCTCAAAAAATATCATTCAATTGCATAAATTAAATAATTAAAAAATAGCAAATTAACATGGAAAATCATACCTATAAAATGATGAAGAAATTTGAATGAAAACAGGAAAATCCTTAAATAGTTTTAATCTTTGGAATGAGGATAATGCGAATAATTAGATTACTTAGAGATTAAGAGCAAAATTTTTTGGAGAAGAGAGAGTAATAAATAAATCAAAAAGTGGAGGTGAGAAGAGAAATGAGAAAGGAAATGAGAGAAGAGAATGGTGCCTCTAGAGGGGATTGAATAAAAGTATGAGAATTATTTTGGGACCCAATGGCTATTATATCTCTTTCCCAATGGCTACCCTCAATGTCTCCTTAATTTAAAAAATATAAAGGTGGGAAACACCCATTTAGGGTAAGTTGTTCATGCCACACAAGTGCTCCTATCTTATATGGCAACTGTCAAATGCTCTATAATAAGGCATTTTCTCATTTTTATTTTTATTTTCTCAAGCTTAAATTACTAATTAATATTTTTGATGTGCTCCTCAAAAGTTGACCCCTTAGTAATAATGCCACTAACCACACAGGCTATTAACACTTGAATATCTATCATCAACCAATTAAAAAAATGTGTCCACAAGATAGATGATAGTGTTCTTAATATATGCAATACATTGCATGAAAGAATGACATCATAATATATATATGTATATGATTACTCTATTTTTATATCTCAACATATAGATCACCATATAAGCATTAAATCAAGCAACCCATCCTACCCTAAATACACACCAAAGTTTTCCCTTGCTTTGAATTGCACTAACTAATCAATCCTTCGTTCAAAACTAGATGGAGATATTGCTACACATGCTTCATTCCAATCTTCCTAAATATTGGTGGTAGTGAAGGCTATCACAAACACATACATACAAGTCTATCTCACTATATTGGTGGTACTGTACATTGAATTTTGTCATCGTGATGTTAAAATTTTAAATTTGAATATTCAATAGATACATCATAATAAGTTGAATATTCAGTGGAAAATTTTGTCAAATCATTAAATATTCATATAAAATTTATCAATGTTAAATAACTAATGAGTCACTCATAACACGTATAATAAATATCATACAGTTTAAAACATAGCTCGAAAAGCATGAAAAGAGTTATGACTTTTAAATGTGAGCAAATATATTGTAATATTTTAAAATTTTATGCTAAATCATATTACTTCTAGATAGATAGTCACAGTTAAAAATCATAAAACATTAATTTTAATGATAAAGTCCATCCAAATTATCATAATAATTTATAAATATATTTAATACAAAAGACAAACATATTATAAATTAATTATTATTAAAATAAGCTATTAGACTCATACTCTTATTTGGATATAAATTTAAATAAAATAATATTTTAGATGATAATTTAATGAATATGAAATTTTTAAATAAAATTAATTTACCTATAAATTTTAAAAAAGAATGATATATAATATTAAAGAAATACACTAATTTTAGTGTAAATTCAATGGTGCGGATTTTTTTTTTTAAACAATTTTGCTAAAATTCATCAGCTTTGCCGTCGGACTCGGCCGCGACCGCCGCCTACCCGTCCACGCTAGCCGCTAACAAAGCACGCGGCTATAAATAGGATTTGCCCTTCTCCGTCACTTTACGAATCACCCATTTGTATTTTTCTACAGCTCACTTTCCTTTCGTGCATGATAGTTGGATCGTCTTCGTCCTGAAGGCAAGCATCTCGTATCTCTCTTAATTGTTGGTAATGTTAGAATAATTTACGGCTCGCGCTTTGTATAAGATTTTTCATCACCTTCGTGAAATTTGATTCGGTCGATCTGCTCGAATTGGTTTGTTCATTCTGCTCTTGACTGCATTTGGATCCAAATCAAGGTCTGTTGGCAGTGGAAACCCTAGGCTGAAACAATTTAATTGATTTTGTTAATCTGCCGATTTTGATTGCTATTTGAGTAACCTTAGCGCCAGTTATTTTTTTTATATAATAATTTTTTTATGTTGGTTCATGAAAATTGTGTGGATTTGATTGTTTAGTGTGTGAAGTGGAGAGAAGAGATAGAGATGGAGATGGGGCTGGTGGAGCGGCTGGAGGCCGCGGTGCGGCGGCTGGAGGTGCTTGCGGTTGGGTCTCAGCCGGTAGTGTCCGATAGAGATCTCGCGAATGACTTGTCGTTGGATCCGGCCATAAAGGCATTTGATGAATTCTTGGATAGTTCTCTCCGGAGAGTAGTGGTAGCTGCCGAGAAGATCGGGGGTCAGACCCTTGAGGTTACGAAGGTACTGGAGCAGGCCTTCTTGGTTGAGAAGGAGCTTCTGATCCAGGCCAAACAGACTCAGGTAGGTTATTTTTTTATATTTATTTAACGACTGAATCTGGTGATGTATATTGTTACAGCAATCCTAAACATTACATGCATGAATTCCTTTATTTTGATTGATATGTTTTATTTTTGTAGTTGTGTTCTTGACATCTCTAGGAAATTTTACATACGAAAACGTGCGGTTCTGTTACATAACTTTGTGTGACTTATTCGCAACTAAAGTTCTATTTTTAAGGGTTGATGCTTTTCAGTACTTTATACTTTGGTTTTGAAAACTCGATATGTATAGATGGAAATGGGGAAGGAATGGCAAGTATCATACTCATGGCAATAGACCTGACTTAACAAATTTTCTCCCATCTCGTTCACCTATTGCAACTTCTATCCGCAGGTTTATGGGCAGATCTTTCTGCTAAACCATCAAGGATTTTCTAACTGTCTTTATTTGTAATTTTTACAATAAAATGTCTCATGGATCTACGGCATTACTATGTTACGAGGATGCTTAATGTAATGAGGGTGCTTAATGTATTCAAAATATTCTATGAGAATGTATTTTTGTACACGCCATAACTCCACATGTGTATATTATTCATTTGAATTTTGCACATCCAATTTGTTTAAGTATAAATGCTTTGATTCTGTAGGGTTCAGGTTGGCCCTGCTCCTTTAAGTAATTGCATCACTATGCCTTCAAACAATCTGAAAGATAATTTTCTCTTTTACTTTGTCCTAAAACTTTTGTCCAATTGATAGAGGACAAAACTAAAGGCTTCTATGTAATGAGGGTGAAGAGGTAATGATTTGTTATTCCAAGGACTAGGGATACGATCTTCAATAAAATTTCAAGCTAAAACTTCAATTAAATTAGATAAAATATATTATGTAGTTAATTACATAGGAGTTTTAAGAAGTTAAAGAGATGGATTTTCTTTTTAAGGACATTTTTTGTGAAGTAGCACAAGCCAAAACCATAAAGACTAATGAGGAAAGATAATTATTAGTATATGAACATCAAAGATCACTATGTTAACAACAACCTAAACTGTGTCAAGGATTCTAATTAGAAGATGCCATCACAGATATCTAGAGATGAAGAAAAGGATTGACAGCTGCAGTGCAATAATATTACGTGGATAACTAGAATACCTTAGCCTAAGGATCACAGGTAACAAAGTGAAGCAAAGCCTTCATTCATTCATATGTACATTACATGACAAGTGACTTGCTATTTATAAGCATAAGGACGGGGAGAACAAGTATCACTAACTAAATGTAAAAAGAGTGCAAGGACTTGCATTCCACTTAATGAAGGAAGAGTTAAAAAATCCATGGAAAAGTCAAAAGTGTTTGTGGAGAAAACAAGGATGTCAAGTAATTGGTGATGAATACCAAGCGACAAAATGTTTGAGGATGGGGAGAGGTGATGAAGTATGGAGAGATGTGTGAAACATGACTTATCACATGATAAACTACTCAAAACATGATAACACATAACACCCCACATTACCCATATACATAAAATGGACTAATAATACATTAAATTAACTCACTAACCACACAATTTATTATATAATTCAATACATAAAATCTCATATATACAAAGCATGGGTCCTAGGTACATGAAATCTAGGCTTTGATATGATGATGATGACTATGACGGCTTTGATTAAGATGCCCCATGTCACCGATTTAAACCTCCCTCAAATGAGATGAGTTGATACATATCCCAATGATTTATTAACTTATTATCATTATTGATGCATTTCTATTTTAAGTTGAAGTGTATGCATGAAAAAGTTTGAGCTTGTTGCCAAGATTGAAAAAAAAAACGAGAGGTCTTAGAGCTTTGGTAAAGATTTTAGCTAATTTTTCTTCTTTTTATACATGAGGAATGATGATCGTCTTTTACAAGAGTGCATCTATGATGAAGTGATGATACACTTATTTGATGAAATATGAATATACTTGTAATGTAAATAATTGTTTGATTATCATAGTTAAGGATCATTGGTTGTGTCATATGCAATTAAATTCTTTTAAAAGAGTTTCGATCTACATCATTTCCCAAGCGGAATGGGCCATGGCCCAACACTTAATCAAGCTACAACTATTTTTTTCGTAGTTATCCAAAGGCATACTCGAAACAAATTTTTAATCTTAAATGGATCAAATATAGTCAGCATTAGAAAATATTTTGATTCTCAACTGAATATATTTCTAATCGATTAAAATTTTCTTGGAGATTTCTTGATAGATGTCAAAATTCTTTTGAAAACATGCTAATATGGATGCTTTTGGTTTTGCATATGCTAACTAGTCACGGTTAAATTCAAAGAATTGGAGAGAGAAAAAGCTTAATTTTATTATACAAAATTATCCCTATTTATAGATTCATACAATATGTCTTAATAAATAAACAAATAATTACAAAATCATACATAATTGCCTTAATATAATCCTTCCTAAATTAGCCAGTCAAATATAAAAGGAGATCGGCATGATTCTGGTGAGCCTCCCACGGATCCCCATGTTGCCCGTGGGACAAGGGCCAAGGAACGACTGAGATTTAATAGCGTGATCTAGGTGAGCCTCCCACGGATCCCCATGTTATTCGTGGGATCAAGGGTCAACGGATGGTTGGAATTTTAACACTCCCAATCAAGCTGGGAAATACAGACCTGTCATTCCCAGCTTGATAATTAGTCCCAGAAAAGTAGAGTTATTAAGTCCCTTGATGCACCATAGAGTCCTCCTTTTGGTCAAAAATTTAGGAGAAATTAGGTTTAGACATTGCAGTGGCGAATGATAGTAATGAAAGCTATATTAAGCAAGACAACAATGAGGGCTGCAATGGTTATAAATAAGACAACAATCTCACGGGAAGGCTGACAATGAAGGCACGACAATAGGAAAAAAATTATTTTAGGGTTGCGACAAGCTTTAAGATGACAACAGAAAAATACATCTTAAATGGTTCATCACTTGGCACACAAATCTACTTGCGTCTGATCGAGCCGGCCTTCAGCTAATGCAAATCAGTCATCTTACTCCACTTGAACACTCTTGTTCGATTGATCCTGTACAAGCGCACTCAAGGCCTCTGATCCCTCTGGTCTGATCGCAGGAAGGAGTGTAGGTCTTGCACTCTTGCTTGTCCTGACCCTAGACCCTCTTGAGAGGACTCTCAACTCTTTCCAAATGCACGCAAGGGGTCCTGCGCTCGACTTCTCTTCCTTCTGCTCGGTTGACTCTAGACGTTGCAAGTGAGAGGTGCCCTCCCACTCGATCTCTCCTCAGTCTTGGACGCACGAAGGAAGTATAATGACCAATATTCGTTAGAATTTTAGTGATGAAGGCGGTAAAGGACTAGTATTTCTCAGAATTCCGGCAATGAAGGCCGGTGGTGGGAACCTGCATTGTTCAGAATTCCAACAATGAAGGCTGGTGGTGAGAACTTGTATTCCTCATAATTCCAGCAATAAAGGCCGGTGGTGGGAATCAGTATTTCTTAGAATTTCAGCAATAAAAGCTTATGGTGGGAACTTATATTTCTCAAAACTTCGGCAATGAAGGCCGAGGTGGGAACTTATATTTTTTAGAATTTTGACAATGAAGGCCGATGGTGGGAACCTGGAGAACCAGCAAGTGTTCGCTCCTTTAGGATAGGATAAAGTGCTTCTAATCTCTCTGTAGCCTCACCCTCAATATCCACGATCTACTTCCTACTTTGGGAAGTAGCATACTTCACCATCTACGCGCTTACCAACTCTTCGGTCCAGTAAACATGCACTGGACCGTAGCAGTGAACTGCCTTACCACCAAGAAAGCCATCTTCTTTCCCATCGTGCACATCGTTTGGGAAACTCCACGTATCAGGACCATTCCATCAGTGAGCTTTGAATCCAGCGAACCGACTTCAGTCCAATTCCGACCGGCAAGGTTCTCAATGACGATTTTGTCAGCAGTTGCGTAGAAGGAGAGAACGTGGACCACGAAGTGACGTTTGCCGCATTTGAGGTTGACTTCTTTTGTTGTCCAAAAGGAGGCTTCAACCTTCTTATACATCTCTTAGATATGAGGGTAGCAGATAGGGAACATGCATAAGCGGTCGGTATTTTGGGCAAGGAGGGGCTCTTCGAGTGGAGGATTTGATGGTGTGTACAATAGCTCTTCAACCTCTTATTCCTTGCTCGGTTTGGCTCCAACACATGCTCGAGGGTCGATCGTCTGCGCTCAAGCACGCACGCACATAGTTCCTATTCGTCCCTCTCTTGATCCTTTTCTTCACTCGGTTCAACCCACAGGTAGGCACGCACGAGAGGCACACAAAAAATCGCAAGGGGGAAGCCCTCTCACTTGCTTGGCTGTCCTGGACGCTCGCAAGCAAGAATAGAATGCAAGACCAGATCTTCCTCTCTCACGGTCTCATTTTTGAAGAAGAACCAATACCTTGCTCTGATACCATGTTAAATTCAGAGAATTGGAGAGGGAAAAGGCTTAATTTTGTTATACAAAACTATCTCTATTTATAGATCTATGCAAGATTTCTTAATAAAGAAACAAATAACTATAGAATCATGCATACTTTCTTTAATATGATACTTCCTAAATCAACCACTCAAATATGGAAGGAGATCAGCGTGATCCAGGTGAGCCTCCCACAGATCCCCATGCTGGTCGTGGGATCAAGGGCCAAGGAACAACTGAGATTTAACAATGTGATCCAGGTGAGCCTCCCACGGATCCCCATGCTCTTCGTGGGATCAAGGGCCAATGGACGGTTGAAATTTTAATAGTCACACTAACAATAAAGGATATATCAATTGGAATGATGGTCATATTGATGAGTTTTTCATCAAGATGTTGATATCGAGAAGGATCTTAATAGCTTTCATCATCCTCAAATGAATATAGAATTTTCAACTGTGAATCAATAAGCTTACACCCAAGAAGGTCAATTTCTTCAAGAAGATCTACAACGTATTTCCTTTGAGGGAGAGAAATGGCTATTTT